TTTCTTCGTGCTGATTGGATTATTACTTTTTGATTTAAAGGAATTGTCCTATGTCAACGAAGATAATTTCTAGTTGCAAAAAGATTTGTCGCGTCGCATTCTAAGGCCTTGTTTACACCGAGTAATTCTTAATGCGCATATTAACCAGTAACTTTCTATTAAATTATTTTAATTTCGACAATGTTTAATTTAAAGAATAATGTATTAAATTAGAATAATATGCATCAACATAATTAATTAAATACATATATCATATATAATATGTTTATTTGTATCGCCAAAATTAAGATAATTTAATAAAATTATTAGTTAACACTCACATCAAGTGCATGATATAAACTAAGCCAATATGCTCCTACCAGAAAAGTAAGAGAGAAAGAATATCTTTCTTGAGAAAGAATATGAGGATTTTTTTCTTGTAACCGCAGTGTTCTCGAGCACTGCCCTCTGAAGAAGTGGATGTAAACTACATAACAATATCCATTTTTTTGCGATGCTTCTGAAATAAATCGCTAAAATAACTAAAATCTATCACACAAATTAATAAAGATTCAGGTTTTTCTTTATAATCAGGTTTCTATTTAAAACCTCCTTAAGCACAGATATCTTAAGATATCATGAACCAATCAGAAAGCTGTTTTAACATTTGGACATTACTTAAGGTGGTATTAAAATTTATTTATCGAGTATCGTCATTCGTTCTTTGCTGTATAGCATCTCTGGCACTTATTCAATTCTATATTACTTGCGTGGTTCTTTTAAACGTAATTAGTAATTATTCGCGTGAGGTATTTTTGATATTCCAACATTACATCTCAATTTTCATTAGTTTAAATGAATAATTCATACTTAAATAAAGTTTGATAATATTCTATACATCCTTTATATAAAGATATACATGCAAATTTTCTTAATATTGCTAAACAATTTAATCATATGCCTCCTTATTATTGAATATATTATGCATATGAATTTAATTTAATGCAGTGCATACGAAGATACTTTCGAATGCACACATTTTATACAAATTGAATCTTTCGAAAAATTGAGAATACCATGAGGATATAATAGAGTATTATTTATTAAAAATTATATTGATGATTTAATAATATTGTTTGATCAATTTTAAAATCGAAAAGAGAAAAGTCACTAATACTGACATACCATTTTGTTTTTAGACAATATTTTTTAAAAAGTGAAAGAAAACAAAAGGAAAAAATAAAACTTTAAATACATAAATACAAACTGAAAATTGTCTTCTATCAAATAATATAATCAGTTTTTATAATACATAATACAATTTTTAATTTTGCAATAATTCATTTTTTCGTAAGACAAGCAAAAATGAGCAGTCTGGCAAAATGATCTGTAACTCGTTATGCAATCGTTATGAACACATAGACCGATATTCATAGTTCTTAATAATTCCATAAAATAAAGATGTAATAATACTATATGTTAAATTTAGCACTACAGTTCGATTTTAAGATTTTCCCCATACTTTATCCGAAGAATATTCTGGGAATAAATTTTAGGATGTAAAGGATGTCTTTAGAATATGTTTTGAACGTCTGGTCTGTATGAGTATATTTTACATAATATACTCTTAAATAAAGATTGAAAAAGTTTTTAAATTCTTGTTATTTAAATTCTTTTCGTTTTTGAAGCATAATTATCAAACTACAAGATAATTTGAAATTCTTAAAATCTTACGTGTAAGATTTTTGGATTACATAAGAAATATAAACATTTTTTAACAAATTGTCTTTATTTATCTCTTTAACAAACTTTACTTTATATGATCTAAACATGCGATTGTTTCGAAAACGCGAATTGGCCTCTCTCTCACTTAAGGTACCTCCAGACGATATGGATAATGTATGCCAAATTGTCAAATTATTACATACAGACACACATATGTAATTATCCATGAATGTAGACCAATTTAGTGAATGTATGCAAAATTGGTTTATGTTGAACAACGTCTGGAAGACCTTTATAATGAACTCGTTTTAAAGCTAGGTTTGTTCGTGTTGCTTGCATTTTTTGCATTCAATATCTTCACTTTCTCTCTCCAATACCTAAATGTACATATATTTATCTCATTTTAAGTGCAAAAATTTTTGAGCATTTCTTGAAAAAGCAACGTGAACAAATCTGGTGCTATATACATAATTACACTTTGAATACGTTTCTTTATGATTTCTGTTTCTTTTTTGGTACATTATGGCTTTCAAACGATTACAACTTTATTAAAAACTAAATAATCTTGAAGTTGAAGATCTTAGTCTAGAAATTCTCTAGAAAAAACTGCTGATTCAATCAGTACATGTGGATATTAATGAGGTGATGCCACATTTCCTTGCTAATAGAAAAATGGAAATTTTCTAATAAAATCCTCGCTTAGTAGATTGTGTTTTGTAGCAAGTTCACAAAATTATTTAGAAAGTTATTTTTCATGTAGAGAAATTTTTAAATCGCCCTTATTTTGACAACTAGCGAAAGTTGAAACGCACTCAAACGGAAACTTTTACGAAAAGCTACATAGATTGAGAAAAGATCTTAGAAATTATTAGTTTTATATGGATATTCGTAGTAGGAAAGCGGCGTTGTTTGTTTGAAGATTGAAGAATCTAGAAATTTTCTGCTCTCAAATAACGCCACTCTACGAATCCCACTACGAATATCTACGAAAAATTAAGAATTCTAAGATCTTGTCTCAATTTATAATATATAATTTTTCTGTACTTCTTCGTAAAAATTTGTTTTCCGTCAGGGACACATTTTTCGAAATCCTCGATCGAATCCTTCTTTTTTTGAAATAGTTGAAGTTAGTTATTAGAATACGTTCCAATAAGAGATTTATTCGAGCTTAGATAATGAAAATCGAAGTACCGGTCAACTTTCTCGAATCAAAATCAATTTTCGGAAAGCGGGAAAGGAGACGAAACGAGTATCAAAATAGAATCATTTATTGCAATTTTACTAGCTTTCGGTATAAAGATCTAGAGTACAAGGTAGTTGCCCGTAGGATATATTGTAGGCGTGTGTAGCCAAGACAAATTTTTAATGAAAAGGTACTCTAATTCATCACAGTTTTTGCGACATATGCAGTCTGCAGTTATGTCATCTCCGTTGTCACACACGCGCGTACACATATGTATACATGATGTATATATATATATATATACCGATAATCTCGATCCAGCGCAACTCGCCAGTTTGCGTAAAAGAGCACGGCAGTGTCTCATGCCACGTCTTAGCGCCGAAATATTATCGTGTCCAAATACATGACGTACATATGCATACGTGATCCCTAATTTTAATTATTGATAGTGCTCGTATACAGGCAGAGCAGATCAAACTAATTCGGAAAGTCTTGTACTGGTTTGCAATTTTCACAATAATTAACGAGAAATTAATTACTAATAATCACTAATTAAGTCTTGTGTACTACTTTAATTTTAAATATATTTTTTTTTGTGCTGTTAGAAGATTTCGTTTCAATAAGAAAGACGGTGGACAATCAGTGAGTTCAGAACCACTTTTAGATAATTTCTCGTTAACTGTTACGAAAATTGCAAAATAGTATAAAACTTTTCGACTTGGTTTATTCTGTTCTATCTGCGTACGAACGCTGTGTCAATAATTAGAGGATACCCTGTATATTCATTCGGATTAATCATATATGATCATTAATATGTACGAGTACTTTAAAGATATCGCGTATAGTAAAGTGCTTAGGCCAGCCGACATGTAAAGAATTCGAGAAACGTAATTTGTTCATCACTCTGGTAATACTAGCACGACGAAGTTTGACGGCAGTGGAAAAAAACGGCTCATAGATCTGCGAATGGTATGACATCTCAGAGATATGACACCAATTGAATATTCTTCCCTTTTGTATCATTGCAAACGCTGCAACTACAATAGCGTCACTTTATTACTCTTTTTTTTTTTTCTAGATGTACAGAGATGGTCGCTGCCTAGAGCTTAAACGGTCATACGAATTTTGATTTTGATAAGATAAACAGGGAAACCTGAAAAAGTGTCTTAGACTTATATAATTAGAAAAGATTTTTTTTGCGAAGTTAGTTGGACGTCTTTTAGAGTTTTGCATTAAGCGGGAACTATTGCTTTAAAAAGGCTTGACTTTAGTTAACAATTGACTTTCAAGTGCGCTTTTACGCTATATATTCAAGTACTATTCGAAAATATTAATATGTAAAACATATCAATGTTGGTCAAGTTCTAGACAGCCCCTCGAGTCTCTTCAATTAAAAGAAAGTTAATGTACAACTGCCTTGAAAGCATTATAATAGAATGATGGATTATGTATCAGTGCATTTGTTTCACTTCTAATAATTGTGGATAATTTTCCACGATGTTTAATAATATTCCATCGATGTACGTTCTTAATTGTGTGTTCACTTCTTGCTGCTCCTTTAAGGCTTGTTTTAACTGTAACATAAATATAATTATTAATTATGCTGTTCTCAAAGCAAAATTTCGAATTAAACTTTAATACGTACTTCAGCCATAGTGCACGGTTCACTGAGTTCGCCTTTGCCATCTATCTGTAAGGCGATGAGAAGAGGTTGATGTTAATATAAATTGTTAATATCCATTCGTTACAGTTAATAGATTCGATACATCTTAAGAAAATACCTGATCTGGATTCATGCCGGCTAACAATTCTACAGCAAGACTAGGACCCTTTTCAGCATTATTATTACAAGGATTCAGCATTATAAGTTCACGACCTGCCTGCAACGCCGCAGCAGCTTGCAGTTCGTCTCGAGATTCTTCCAAGCCTACAAATCGAGGAATGTAATATTATTATAGAACAAAATTTATCTTCGACGAATCAATTAGATATGCTCGAAATGCAGTTTTTTTCATGATAGAAATGCTTAAGGAGCGAACGACTTCTGAAAGCTCACAATATCGAATTAATAGTTCCGTAGTGAACGTACTTTTATTGCGAGCTTGAAGTTGAACCACCTGCTGCACCAGTTCTTCAAGCCTCTGCTGATCCTCATTCCGTAACGAAAGTTCTTCTCTCATAACATCAAGCATATGATGAGCCTCGTTAGCTCGGCTTATCGCATGACGTTCACTTTCGCGCGCGGCGTCCGCTTCCCTTCTGGCTTCTCGGAGATCATTCTCGAGTTGTGCTTTATCCGTCCTCGCTGTCTCGAGCTGTTCGCGTATTCGCGCAATCTCCTCTCGCAAACTGGTATTGTCCAGTTCTGCTGCCTGCAGCTTAATGTCACAGTTTTCCAGTTGCAATTGACGTTCACGTTCCAAGCGACATGCCCATTCCCGATGTCTTCGTTGTTCAGTCTATGAAATAAGAAGAAATTTTTTTTTAAATAAAATATTACTTTTTTTGTTGCGATTAAAAAAGACCTTCATTTTATCTATAGTATAGACTCTATACGATACAGAATCCTCGAAGAGCATAGAAACAAAAATTATGCTCTTCAATTGTTTTCGATATCGAATTCAAAATGCAAAATATCTTATAAAAATGAAAGAAACATGATTTTATTGTGTAAAGTTATATATATGTTACGTATATGCGTATGAAAATATAAAATATTTAAAAATATTTAAAAATATTTAAAAAAAAGACATACATTTATAATGAATTTTACAAATTATAAATTTTTCTTTTTTTATACTAGATTGTGTTTAATTACGAATAATTTAGCTGATCTATATCGAGTTATTTACTTGAAGCCTCTCTTCAGCTCTCGTTTCTGCATCTTTGGCTGCTTCCTCGAGCATCAATATTCGCGCCTGTAATGTTGCATTTTCTTGTTTTGCTCGAGCGTACCTTTCCTCACCGACCGACTTAGTATCCGCTAAAGCATCCATTTGCTCTTGGATCATTTGAACCTGTGGCATTTAAAAGGAGTTTTATGTTTCATACGAAACACACCGCCTTCATGTTTTATTTCATACATTTTGTACAATAAATCATTCTTAATCGTGATATAAAGTATCTTAATGTTAAACATATTATTTCATCGACTTTTTACATCCAAAAAACAATAAACTCTTACTATTACGCGGAAAATTTTACGAGGATATTACAAGTTTATATTTTATAAGTTTTATTACAATTTAGATTTTAGATAGTTATTACAATTTAGGTTTTAAATAAGTTTCAGAGATTTTTGTTTAAAAAATCATTTGAAAGAGAATTTTTAAGGGATATTATCATGTCCTACGCCACAAGAAAAGTGATGTAAGAATTTTCTAGAGGTTGAATTAAAAATAGAATGTCCTTTCTTAGAGATCCTTTTTTAAGAATATATAAAAGTAAACTTATGTTCACAAGATTTTTCGTATATATAAGAAACTGGAAAGTCTATCTTATATAGGCATTTGAGAACATAGGAAATAATTATAGGAATGAAATCTAATTGTAAGTATATAATTTATAAAAATAATAATATCTTAGATAAAAATTAACAAATAAAAACATTTATTATCTATTTTACTTGACTGGAAGTATGGCAAGAGAGCTAGAATATGTACTGATAATTTGGTAAAAGTATAGAAAAGAAGAGCAACTGTCGATGACATTTAGTGCCAAAATGTTCTCCGAACAACGTACTATCGAAATATGAACAAATCTGATTTTTTTTGTCAAGTGTAACATATGAAAAACAAATAGTTTAATCTGCGCATCGCACTTCAAGTTTCTTTTTTCTACAGAATTATTTGTTTGTATGTATTTGGCGCCAAATACAGACTTCTATAATTAGATTGCTGACTCAATGATAGAAAGAGATGAATCTGATTTCAAGCTGTCCTTGTTTCAGTTCACATATGTGTGTGTGTGTGTGTGTATGTATGTGTATATATATGTGTATATATATATATATACATATGCGTCCTGTCTATGAATATCGCGTGAATTTATGTGAAAATACTAACGTTATTATTTATGTGATTTATATGTGAGAGTGAGTAAACACAAATATAACGCTGTCTTCAAACATAGAGGCGAAGTTGGCAGTATATTTATAGAAGTCTGTGGTGCCAAAATAATCCCGAGACATACTATCGAAACATATTAAACCATGATTTTTTTGCTAATACTAAAATGTGAGAAATAGAGAATTTCTTCCAGCGCTGCATTATAAATGCTTCTAACAGGAGCGCAGATATATAGGCGACGATATAGTTACAGAGATATTGAGAAGCATTTGATCCCTATTTACATTGATCTATTAACGCAATATCTGAATATATTCGGGACGCAAACAAAAGTTTAACTCGACATCTGGAGACTAGCGCTCAATTGCAAAAATACTCGAAATTACCACTTCTATTGTCATTGGCATTTTCAACAAGAGATATTCTGTTTATTTTAAAAATCATTAATGAATTCGAAATTAATATTGAAATGAGGAAGCTGAAGGACTACTATGTGCCTCTGGAATAATAGATTTCGAACATTGTAAATATTCAAGAAACTACATCGAAAACTTTAAACGTGTTTATTCCAAAATCTATTTTTTAAATTTTCTTTAATTTAGTACACGAATTTTTTAAAAAAAATTATTTGGCCAATCAACTTCTTATAAAACTCTTTAATAGTCAACTTTTCTCAATGAATCTAAAAAATTATTTTAAAAATCAATATTAACAATTTTTTTTGTATAAAGAAATGGACGCTGTCTAATGAAAATCGTAATAAAGTCGCACAAAATTTTAATTTATATATTTATATATTTAATTTTAAAGGTTCATTTGGGATAAAATAACATGAAAATTATAAATATTTTTTTCGTTTTTGTTTCGAGAATTAAAGTACCGAGGATATATACAAAATTAAATGTTTATATATTTATTCTTAACAATACCTTTTTCTTTATACGAAAAATTGAATGTATAATAGTTGTATCAAAACGTGAAAAAATTTTTAAACAATAGACATTAGTTTTCTTCCTGTTTAAAAATTACGAAAGATCATTTTTTTTCGGACTCCTAAAGTAAATTCCCTCCTTAAAAAAAGCAATTGAGAATACTAATAACTTCAATTAATCAAGTATGGAAAAATGGTACGCTGAAAATTAAAAATCCAACGATGTTCACTGAGAAGACTACAAAGAGCTACCGATCGAGTATGAACGGATTGATTAATTGACACATTAAGTGCGGTATTCATAGTTTTTATATCAAGATTGTCTTAAGACGCTAATACAGCTCTCTGATTGATTCACAACTTCTTAAGACAGTCTCAAATATAAGATCTGACTACGAATACCGACTTAAGAATCCACGAATAGTATCTTCGTAGGCACGAAATTATTCAGAGAAAATATATTGAAAGAAAGTTAGGAAACTCCCTTTAGGAGTATATCCATGCTGCCGATTATCAATGCTGCGGCTATCAATGGAGACGACTACTTACAGTCTTCTCGTCTCTTTTTATTGGAACAGCCTGTCACAGAAGTCGAAGAAAGTATATGATAAAACCTCGCTTTCATGCCGCATATCCCGATTATATTTCGCAGTTGTTATGCGCATGTAACAACGGCTATGCACGATTAGAAATATTCGCTATCTTAGATTATCAGAAAATATCGTAAGCGATAACGATAATCAACTGATATCCTTTTAAGATGATCGTTTCACATAATCGAACGATATACATAATATCGCATAAAAACCTCGTTTACTTATCATTTTCCATGCAACGTCTTTTCGACATATCCGAGTGAGACACGCAGAATGAAATGTCGTCTATGCGTGAAATGCAAATATAAAATCTCCGAATAGATAAACGTGTCGATAACAAGGATGCACGAGAATAGCCTTCGCGTTTGTTCGCGGGATACATACGCAATGACAGTTTATAACACGCAATAAAGCGTGCACTCCACGTCCGCGGTAGGTCGAACCGAATTCGAAGATTCGAAGAAGCGAATTCGCGGTGAATTCAAAATCTCGACGATCGCGAAACGCGATCATTCGGTGCTTCCTGTCGGGCGAGCCAGGGCCAAAGATTATCACTCTCCTCTTACTTGCTCGCCGAGCCGATGTCCACGGCGACGAGGTGGATGTCGATCGTTGCGTGGCGGCGACGGTGACGATGGCGATGGCGATTGCTGTCCTAGGAATTGGAACTGGCCTTCCCACAGGTCATACTCGAGACCAGCGCCAGGGCCGGAGGACGGCCCCTCCCCGGAAAAAGACACGTGGTCGTCGCGGTCGACCGTCTTCTCGCAAAAGTTCAGCTCCATCGCGGCGCGACGCGTCGCGTTCTTGTAGGCCCGGTCGTTCGTATTTATCGCGTCACGTCATCGCCTATATTGCGAGCGCACCTCGTCATTCCCGCGCGTGCTCCTCCTTCGTCCTCGTCGTCGTCGCCCTCGTCGGCGTCACCGTCACCGTCGCCCGCGTCGTCACGACGTGCGATCGTGCCGCACTAACATGCATTGAGAATGCACTCCGGACTTCCTTCCGTGCGAAGTCACACGCACTTCTACCGCGTCTTAGGCAACTTTACGTGCCAGGAATATATTCCGAGTCCCCTGTTCGCTCATATGTTTCTCTTTCATTCTCCCATTCATTCTCTCTCTCTCTCTCTCTCTCTCTCTCTCTCTCTCTCTCTCTGTCGCTCGCTCGCTCACTCACTCGCTCACTGCCTCTATCTACTGATCGTCTACTTCGAGCCAGGAGTCTAAAGTAATCACCATCGAGACCATTTGCGCGCTTCATACCACGTGTCGATTAACTCTACACTCGATAGCATTACGCCGAACGCACCCTAGCCTTCGACATCGCGTTTCTTCTTTATGCTCATGACACTCATCAAGAAAGTATTGTCGATGTCTCTATCGGGACGAAAATCGATATGATTCTCATTTATTCTTCATATATTAGGCCTTATATTTAAGGCCCTTCCTTAAATTTAGCTTTAGATACTCTCCGAATTATTTCATTGTCTGCTGAGCATCTAAAGATAAATTTAAGGAAGCCTTAGGTACAAGGTCCGACTGTAAATACGGGCAATTATATTTCGACGTCGCGGAGGCGCGAAAATATTCATTCGTATCGTCGATAATCGTCAAATGGTTCACTCTTTCGTAGATATAAACCGTGTTCTCTGATATACACTGTCAGTACTGAAAAGTGAAAATCTATAATGTACATACATACACACATACATTACGTATACATATTATAAATTTTCAGTGTCTAGTGTATATCGGAACACGGTCAACAGCTCGTAGAAGTTATGCCAAGTTAAATTTATAGACAATGCAATTTAAAGCGTTCTTTTTTAAGCGGTGACATTTTTCTTATGGTGAATTCGATCACTCGCATTACACTGAATTAATGCATATTAAAAGCTGCTTATATAAAATATCTCGATATAATATAATCAATGAACTGCGCAGTTGCCGTGGCCATATTGAATCCCCAGGTAGCAAACTACATTATTTTGACATCAAATGACATTATTTTGACGTCAAAAACATCATTTTGACATCAGCTTGCTACCAGGATCGTAACAAGCGAGAAATGATTAAGAAATCATTTATATTGGCCGTAACCGTATAATCTGTAAGAATTGACTAATTACAACCGAATATTCTCGCATTCAATTATAAGAAAGGAATGCTCGACTGTGATTAGTCAATTCTTACAGATTATGGCATACAGTATACGATTAGAGTAAGTTTTAAACCTTAAGAAATTGACCAATCATATTCAATTATTCTTCTCACATTTGATTGTGATTGATCACAAACAATTTTTTAAGATTAAATTTTTATTAATTTGAAGGAATTTCTGAACATTCCATAAAATCATAAATAATATGTATATTAATATAAATATTATATTAATGTAATATTTATTATATCAATGTAAAC